CTTCATCTTCAGTCATGCACCAAGGTACATGCACTAGGGAGCACTGAGCTCCTGAGATCATCAGTGCAGACAAATACAGAAATGGCTTCTCTCCTTTGACTCTATGACAGTGATGCTCCAATAAAGTAGATGCTTAATTTGAATGTCTAAAGATAGATGGAAAAAAGCCAGGCCTCAGTGAAAATACCAACTTCCTGAGTGACTGCACTTCCTTACCAGATAAATAAACAAGGAGAGATATATTGGTCACATTTCTAAAAGCTTTGGACGTCTGAAGTTGCCGAGAGGGGATTTGTTGTTGTTCTAGCAATGCCAAGGCTCTGAGAGTCCATGTACATAACTGGAAATTCAGGACTTGGACATGTTTGAAAATACCAGTGGTCACCTAAGGGTCCTAACCCTTCTTGTAATCAGGCAAGTAGTTCCACTTGTTTCCATCTTACATTTTGAGTCCTACTGTACTGAAGATGCTGTCAATTCCAGCTGAATTTAAATGGCACATGAATGCCGTACAGCCTGCAAGTGATAGCCCATACCAAGACTTGGACTCTTACTGCAGGTGGTGTGAAATACTAGCCATGGTTTGATTCTTTTAAGTTTTTTATTGTATCTGCAGGAAATATTAAAAGATTAAGACTCAGCAGAAAACCATCATTATCTGGTTTCATTCAGCACTACCTAAAAGTAATCACTTGGTTTGTTCCACCTGTGTGTGTCTGCACTGAACTGTTTATTTCCCTCTGTTGTGATTAGATCCTGCTGGCTTTGTCAGGAATCTGAAATCTGAAAAAGTGTCTTTCTGGCCTCTCGTTGCTTACCAGTGCTGAACCAGTTATGTCCAGGCAGCAGGGGAGTAAAATCTGATAGGAATGTTAACGCTGGTGAGAATGGCAGTGGGTGGATTCAAAGAAAAACATTCAAGACACAGCTCACCTCCTTGGCAATCCAGACAATTTGCCAGTGTCACCCCTGCCGTGGCTAAATGACTAGAGTGAAAATTTATGGGGAAATGAATGGTTCTCCTGCTGTAATTATACAAACCTTCTCAACAGTGGTACACCTCACAAAGTCACAGTTGATAAATAATAAGCCACACAAACAGCAGCTTAATGTTCATTTATTAAAATAATCTATTATCTTTTTTAGCTGTAGATCCACTTTGTTGAGAGTTGCTACACATTTATATTGCTAACATCTTACTATCCAAAGGGTATTAATTGGGTTTTGCAAGAGTGTGCTTCAGGGGCTAGGTCACTGCTTCGAGAAGTAGGGGGCCTGGGTTTAGTCACAGGCAATGTCATGGTGGGACAGCAGTCTGAGGGACTGTGGGGTCCCAAAACGCTACCAATAGTGGGTGCTGCTTTTAGCCCTAACCTGCACAGTGTAGCAGGGAAGGAGAAGGTGAAGGAAGGCTGCTTTTCTCCTCCACTGCCCTCCTCCAGGAGCACTCACTTCTCACAAGATGGGAGCAAGCGCAGGGAGAGACTGCACTGGCGTAAAAAGCCTCAGCCCTGTGAAGAGGGAAAAGATGTTGCCATGACAGCTTGCACTGCAGCCCCTGCCCTGGGGGATGCCCCCCGCACAGACCCCGGCCCTCCGCAGTGTCATCGGCTGGGGAACGGGGTTAATAAGAGGACAGGGACCCATGCTCTGACCACAGATCCTGTCTCCCGTGTCCCAGGATTTACCAGTAGTGTGATAAATCACACAGATCCTAATAATTGCTACTAGTGCCTGAATTAACTGGGCTAGAAGTATAAGAAATGCTAACAAGTCCTTTACATGCAATCTCCTAGTGTAAAGAGAGTATCTGATGGGAACATGCCTCTGCTCTCGGGTTTGGATCTGTTAGGAGTTGCTTTCTCTAACAAAGCAAATATTTGGTGACAGAACTAGATGTAGAAAGTGCTGCATAGCAGGAAAGTGTGAAGTATTCATAATGATATGAAATACTACTCAAAATTCAATGTTTTTCCCATTCCGTAGCGAGCTTAAACATTGGACTCCTGTCACAGAAATTTCTGCTGCAGTAGACACAATTTCCAGCATAAATGGGCTTGCTTTCAATAGAAAATGGGACAGTTTTCAAAGGAAAAAAGGCCAATTTGTGAGTAAAAATGGGCCTCTTTCTGAGCAAAGAGGCTTATAAACATGAAGTGATAAATGGCTTCGCAAGTTTTCCATACAATAATAACAACTTCCTAATCAAAATAATGAAAAAGTTGCATCTAGGAGAGGGGAGAGAAGCTCCATTCAGGTTTTAATACATTGAAAACATTTTAGAAAATAAATATATGAAAACTGTAAATTTTGTTCCACTCTGTAATCTGAATTTGTGTTGGAGACGTGTCAGTAATATTTCTTCGCGTATATTTATATGATGTTATAAATCAAAATCCTGTTCTGGGTTTGCTGCCTTCTGAGATGAGTTTCATGCAATAATGTTTTAAGACTTAAGGAAATACATTTCTTAGGATCCCCTAAGTGGCAGTGGCATCTGATTTTCTAGTAGTCCATATGTTTTTAGAACTAAATATATCTTCTGGCTTGACTCGTTGATTTTACATGCAAATATATTGCTTCATAATAGCTGATCTGATGAGCAACTGATATGGTTGCTTTTCTCATGGCCTAAAAATGCTTCAAGATCTAAGTACTAAGGAATTGGGATCTCCTTCTTACACATGCTCCAAGAAAGGTGTTGTGAGGTACCCAGGAAAATGCATAATGCAAAATGCACTATTTAGTGAATGCTTTCAAATCCCTTAGCTACAGAGGAGATTGCGTGGGCCAAGAGGTTGATTTGCTAAGCTAGAGATGAGAAATAAGTCTTTTAAAATTTTAAATGAGGCGGTACAGACTGGGGGATGAACGGATTGGGAGCAGCCCTGCAGAGAAGGACTTGTGTGTACTGGTGGATGAAAAGCTGGATGTGAGCTGGCAATGCACGCTCGCAGCCCAGAAAGCCAACCGTATCCTGGGCTGCATCAAGAGCAGCGTGGGCAGCAGGTCAAGGGAGGTGATTCTGGCCCTCTACTCTGCTCTGGTGAGACCCCACCTAGAGTACTGCATCCAGCTCTGGGGTCCTCAGCACAAGACAGAGATGGACCTTTTGGAACGGGTCCAGAGGAGGGCCACAAAAATGGTCAGAGGGCTGGAACACCTCTGCTGTGAGGAAAGGCTGAGAGAGTTGGGGTTGTTCAGCCTGGAGAAGAGAAAGCTCCGGGGAGATCTTATTGCGGCCTTTCAATACTTAAAGGTAGCTTATAAGAAAGATGGGGACAGACTTTTTAGCAGGGCCAATAGCAATAGGACAAGGGTAATGGTTTTAAACTAAAAGAGGGTAGATTCAGACTAGATATAAGGAAGAAATTTTTTACAATGAGGGTGGTGAAACACTGGAACAGGTTTCCCAGAGAGGTGGTAGATGCCCCATCCCTGGAAACGTTCAAGGTCAGGTTGGACGGGGCTCTGAGCAACCTGATCTAGTTGAAGATGTCCCTGCTCATTGCGGGGGGTTGGAGTAGATGACCTTTGAAGCTCCCTTCCAACCCAAACTATTCCATGATTCTATGTTCTCTGCTATGGGATAAGCCCTACTTTCAGCTTCCTTGAGTCTGCTTTATTAGGCAGTGTATGGGTGGTAGACAGAGATCACTGTGGTGCTATATGGAGTTTCACACCAGTTGTCTCCCTGCCTGTTAATTCTCTGGAAAAGTGTTAGATGAAGGACATAAGATGAGTGATGTCAAAGATGTGTAGCCTTGGTTCTCGTAAACACAGTTGGCTGATAGAGCTGGTCTGAGGTTAAAAAAGCCCTCTAGCAGTGGTGCCCTAGGTGCTCTTTCAGGCATCATTATGTCGCTTTGCCCCTGAGATCCAGATTTATTTTTCAAGGAAGGTTTGAAAAAACATTCCTATGCACACGTGATATTATTACCATATAGTTTTAAAGGTGACTGCAGCACTTTCCCATCTGTGTCCTCCATTGGTGATACAGCACATATGGTCTTTGGGCAGATGGTTCCATATAAGGCAGCCATACAAATGGGGAAAATATTCATTTTAATTACGTGCCCAGTCTTGTCTCCAGTGAAATCCATGTCAAAATTCTCTACGAGCTCCATGGGAGCAGGTTCTGATGCTGATAATAGCTCCCTTTGATGGGATGTATTACTACCCCATTGTCCAGCTTACAAACAGATGTGCTTTCATGCCTGATGCAAGAGAGGTGAATTAGAAATGCTGTAACATTCCCATTGCAGAGCAGTGGCCACAAACTTTTTTTTCCTGTTATGGCTGTCTTTTGGGGGAGGGAAATTAAGGTTGGCTTTTGCTATGGACCTGTGCTATCTGTTTCTACACTAGGTAGGCAGCCAGATAAGTAACCATGACATAGAAATTGGATATTATAGGTATAAATCATTAATGTTACCATACACAATTGTTTTGTACGGTAACTGGCAGTCATTGCCCATTTTAGAAACTGCTTTCTTGTTTCTTACAGTAAAGCAAACTTAGATTACCAGTCTCAACCTTAATGCACAGAATGAATGTGATTTAATAAAATAAAGTTAATTTATATGTAGATTGTGACATTAGTATTTAATTATGTACCTATCATAACACTGATGAAGCAAGCTGCTAAATATTGGTGCAATGAAGTGAGAGCTTACTCTGAAGGAGCAGGTATATTGTAATTTCTTTCCTCTTTCCTAATCTCCTTAAATAACAGGATAGATTTTGTACTGTTTACCAACATTCACCTGTATTCCTTCATACCGTATTCCAAATAAGGTTTCTATTGTAGCAGCTGAAGCTTGTAGAAAGCTGTGCTGTTTTGGTAAAACACTGTGATAACAGAGCTGTTTCTATGCTATGTTTTATCAGGCCTAATTAAGTTTTAGATTTTTTTTATTTATTACTTTAATGTGAATTAAAAGTAGCATGTAATCTGTTGGGGTTTTTTTTTAACCTTTTCTTTTCTGTTATTTTTTCAGACTATGGAAACCCCGAAATATGAGCTAGTTATAGAAGCTAAGGACATGGGTGGTCTTGATGTGGGACTAACTGGCACAGCAACTGCCACTATTCTTATTGATGACAAAAATGACCATCCACCAGAATTTACCAAGAAGGAGGTAAGAGTTTGCCATCTGTGTTCTACAAAATGGTGCGTGTAATTGTAATTAGCTTGTTTCTAAATATAAAAATGTTCCTTAATGGAAGAAAATACTTAAGGACATCTTTCTAGCTCAATGTGACAGACTTTTCTGGAGCTGCTCTTTTCTTCTTTTACATTAATAAATTTGTATGTGTCATCTCCAAAACAAGATGCAACGACAAGGTAAAAATTTATGTCAAGCGATATCATTCAGCAGTTGGCTAGCAAGACAAAAACCTGTAAAATAAGTTTGCTAGTGGTAATTTTCTCCTTTTGCTCCTATGGACGAAAACAGAGAATTCCCTCCTGCCTACGTTCTAGCTTACAGCTTTTGATGGTCAGGAACATGCATGAAAGCAACATGTTTTGTCCTGGCTTCTGTACTTCACCTGTGCAACAGCTAATGTTGAGAGTTCTGTAATGAAAGCTCAAGTCCTAAAAGCTTTACATTTCACTTACAGGTGGAATTTGCAAGGAAAGTTTTTTTTTTCCCTGCAAGTTGAATTCCACTGAAGAGTGCTGAAAAGTCTGAAAAAAACCCAAACCAAAACAAAAGATATTCACTGCCTGCAGGAAAGTGTAATAGTGCTACAGCAAAGTATCTGGTTTCAGGCAAAGCGTCTACCAAATTCCCTGCCCTTCCCACACTGCTCCCTTCCCTCCCTTGCATTTATTATTAGTCTGTTTTTTTTTTTTTTTTTTTTTTTTTTTGCCTCTGGTATCTGGAGAGAATTAGAGAGTGTCAAAAGTTTTACCTAATAGCAGCTGGTTTGGATTTTGCTGCAGAAGTTTCCTGAGGCTCTGCAGATTTTAAGGAATATTCCCAAAAAATGAGAAGTAAGCATGAGGGATGCTGATTTTAAGGCACTTTGAGAAGAAGAAAAGGAAAGCCTATTGCTATAAAAGTCTTGGGTTTCTCCTTAAGGTATATTTTTACCTTTTTTTAATTTTTGTTTTCTGGCCTAATTTTAGTGGTTTGACAACAGATTATTTTGAAACAAATTACTGCCATGTTACTTGATTAATTATTTCTTTTATAAATGCAAACTGGATAACCAAATTAAAAAAGGGATGGAGAAGGTTTAAAAAAAAAAAAAAAGGGAAGAAGAAATAAGAAACAATGACAATTTTGCCAACAGGAATATTATTTTTCAGTGGCAATAGCTATATTTACTTAAGTAAAATGCTTTGGCAAGAGCATTTCAGTCACCTAAAAAGTGTCATGGAGAGCCTGATCCAGACCTTTCCAAGTACATAGGCAATAACTAAGCGGCTTTGATCAAACTATTAATTCCCTTAGAATTACCCTTTAGATCAGGCTTTTAATGCTCTGAAAGCTGTTTCCTGGCAATCAGTAGTTAAAATATATTTAAATATTGTATTTTTTTAGCCGTCTGGAATATAACTATGTAAAAGGTCAACTTGTTGTATTTAGAAATAGAAAGTAATTGTATTAATCAATATTGATAGCAATTCATGTCATTCAGAGTCCTACCTACTAGAATTTCCAAAATTTGGGATATCTTCTTTTTCTTCTTATTTTATAAAAAGAAATCTTTTTATAATTATATTTCGTGTTTGACTTAAAAGTTTTCCCTGGTAATTTGGGCAAGCATGTTAAAAAACGTGGGGGCCTGCTTAGCCCCAAATGTACTGTTAGACAGTGTCTATTTCTGTGGAAATTCAGAAATGTTTATAAATTCAGTTCAGTTAGTGGTAGTAAAAAGTACTCTGTACCCTTGAAAGCCTGATGGTTTCAGGATAGAAATAATATAGCAAGTGTGAAGAGACAGCATTATATAGCTTTCTTTAAAAAGTCTGGTCTTATACGTTTTTCTTGCACTTTATATGACATAAATTTTCCTATAGAGACATCTCTGTCTTTGTAGTACATTGTGGTATGGTTTTGAACCTTTCACTATTTAGAGATCTTAATGACCTCAGAAATCTTCCCTCTGCCTTGCTAAGTGATATTCTTACTCCATGAAGAAGGCAGGAAAAATCAGACTTCAGTCTTTTTTTTATGGTGTCAGGCCCCTTTAGAAACATATGCTCTGTTTAAAATAAGTAGTGTAAGAGGAGGGAGAGTGTCTGTTAAGAGAGCTAATGCCCCTTTATTTTGCTTACTGCTTGAAGTACTTTGTTACTATATTTTAATACCAGTCGCATACCACATGCTGCAAAACTATTGATTTGAAGGAGACTTGAAAGAAAAAGACGTATTCTACAAGATAACTTTTGAAGTAGAAAGCTCAAATTCAGTAAATCTGAAGGTTCGATTTCAGAGTGCATCTTCTTTTATTTACTTTGAGACTGGCTCTAGGATTAGGTTCTTATGGTATCGACATCTTTTCCCAGCTATCTTCCTTCTCTTTAAAGATACTTTCTCTCAATGCCTTATTCCCTTTGGTAAAACAAATGCTTATTTACTGGCCTGTGTTTTCTTCTGATACTATAATTTCTACCTAAAATAGCTCTGCCTTTATTTGTCATATGGTGTTGATGTAGCTCGATTAAGCCAAGTTTTCAATGTGTTCTCTTCATCTTTAAACACAGAGGCCAAATTCATTCCTGATCTGACATAGTGAAAGCCAATGAAGTTATGAGAGCTGAATTTGTTCAAAAGTCTGGACACTGTATAAGTACAACACTGGGTACCCCAGACTGTGCACTAAATGGCGTTTTGTAGAATGTAGAATGCATTGTTGTGTATATCTTAATAAAGATATATATGATTTCAATAATATTAATGCCAAGACAGAAGTTTAATGTTTTTTTCATAGTTTTCTCCAAAGTTGAAAATTTCTATATTTCTATATATTTCTATTTCCAAGAAGTCTTATACGTGTTAACAGATATTTCTTTGAGTCCTCAGTGCAAGGCAATCTCAGCCATGCGTGAACACATCTCTGTCCAGTGAAGATGAGTTTTATCTTTTGACACTTGACCAATTTCTTCCTCTTTTTTCTTCCAGAAACAAGTTTGTGGATCTACCCCTAAGCAATGATACACTTCTGTGTATTCCTATTTACTATATTTATCCCTTGGAGGTCAGGTCCTTACACAACTATTCAAAATGCTCATTAACGGGCTTTATTTGATGTTTTCAGAAAGGTCTAAATGCTCCTTTGTTGATGTACGCAGTTTTGCAGTAGCCTCTACTGAGTTTATGTAGATCTTGCTGGAAAAGGGGTTATTTGTCTAGTGAATCTGTTCTTCCATCTGCTATTTTTTCCCCCGCCTACCACACCTGTGCCATTCTGATGCAGTTGTGGCCTTCGTGCTTAGGGAAAAAAATTGTTGATGGTGTATCGGGGTATAATCACAGAAGAAGCTGAGCAAACCTGGCTGTGATCCAACACAGCACTTCCATTAACTTCAGAGGAATCGTTTAAGCCCTTGAGGTTATAAGTATGTGTCAGGTAGTACTTTGATGGGTTAATGTATGAGACACTGCTTTGTGGGATTCAGCCCCATTAATTATTTTGTTACTGCCCCATCACTCTACACACCTCCAAAATATCTGCCTTGTTCTATTTCACGTATATACTTAGCCTTACTGTTCATAATAGTCTCTGAGCAGTGCAAAAATCCATTTAGATGTGCAAACAGTACCCTGTTCCCTCCAGGGGTTTAAATAATTTAATCTTTAATGCCTAAAAGAGCAATGTTTTAAGAGCTCCTCCAAAAATCCCAGGTGAGGTAACAAGGTCTACCTTTTAAAAGGTCACAGTGGCCGGGATATTGTGCCAGATTTAAATTATAGCTAATGAAAATAGAGATCCTTGTAAAGTTAGTGGCCTCTTTTTCAGGAAGTTTTGAAAATTTACAACCCTATTTCTATAATATGAAAGAGTTTTAAAATTTATTTTTGTGAATTATTACTGAATACAACACGTATTTTATATCACAAAAAGCAATTTGGCATTTCCTTTCTGGCAAGTTAAGGGCTTAGGCTCAACTTTTGTTCAGCAGCAAGGGATTACTTACGTGAAAGTAAGAAAAGAAGCAAAGCAAGGAGCAGGAATTGATCATTCTGGAAAATCTGATACCTGGTTTGTGTACTGCAGGATATTCAAACTGTGTGGGAATGAGTTAGACTGAGTGAATGCTAATGGTGCTGAGTATTGTTTTTATACCTAACACATTAAGAAAAATGAGAATTATTTTCTTGTGTCACTTTAACAGTTGTTGACAGACCACTGCATTGTTGTATGCCTACAAAACAATGATTTTAGTCTACAGTTAATGTCACTGTGGTTGAAGTGTGATGAAAAACTAGCAATGTAGCATTTGCTGGAAGCCACAAGCTGGCAAATACTTCCCTTGTATGTGTTCCTGTAGGCGTGGTTCTGCCCAGATCTTCCCTACGACCCAGCAGAGGAAAAAATATTGTTTCAACATGACAAAAATATGGATTTCTCCCCTTCCTGTCTGTTCTTCCTCCTCTAAAAAAATACTACAACGAATCCTACTTCTGGTCTTATACGATTACTGAATGCAGAATATATGCTCAAAAATGAGATTTCACTGAGTATATTTGCCTCCCTCTTCTGGCTTCTATGCTGATATTTTAAAGTGTCTGTTCCCAGGGAAGAAGATTCCATTGCTGCTCTTAAGTAATACTTTATAGAAAAAACTTCTTCACAGAAAGGGCTGTCAGGCATTGGAACAGGCTGCCCAGGGAAGTGGTTGAGTCTCCATCCCTGGAGGTATTTAAAAGAAGGGTAGACGTGGTGCTTGAGGACATGCTGTAGTGGTGGACTTGGCAGTGATAAGTTAACGGTTGGACTCGATGATCTTAAGGGTCTCTTCCGACCTTAATGATTCTATGATTCTATGATTTTTTCTTAATATCAGATATATTGTCTTTCCTTGGTAAATGCAATCAGGTGCTTGAGAGAAGAATGCAGTGATGTGCCTTAAGGGGATTATTTTTCTACAGTCCACCTAGTTCTCACATCTGTCCTTCACCGC